TTAAAGTGGTCTGCTGGATGTGTTATAGGCACGTTAAACAGCAGAAAATCAGTATTGACTTATAAATATTACTCAGCTTCCCACTTACTGGCCCAAATGCTTGCGTTGCAGTTTTACTAAATTTTCTTTATGGTTCAGATTTTGATTGGGAGCTTGTAAACTCAATATCTTTATGAGATATTACTCACACACTCATACACACACTGGCCCTGAGAGACACACTCGTCAGAAACTCCAGACAAGCTGTTTCAGCAGGTTTGCAGCCGCTGCCAGACTCTGATAGAAATGTTTGTAGTGAAGCTGAGGGCTGGATCCGCTAAACAGAGGCCAGAGATAACTCATTTTAACCCACGGAAGCTGCAGGATTAACCAAAATTACACTTATCTGGAGCGCTGACGGTAATTGCGGCTATCAAGTCTTTCTGCTGTTGAACTATGCAGAAAATAGTGGACGCGGTCTCTTTGGTGCGCATTAGGCCGAGTGCTGATGAGCACAATTGAAAAGCTTTTGAACGTACACATTTTTAACTTAAATTCAGCTGGGTTCCCGTACAAGTGAAACAGGCAAAATATGTGTCTTTTAGTTTGAGTGAAATTGTTTAGACATTCATAAAACAAGATGCATTTACTGTACATGAGAACTAAAACCGTGTAAGACTTTTGTTTAGATAGTGGGTCTTGGGGAAAACGGTTTTCTTTTATTACTCTATTGGCATGTTAAAGCATCAACACACTATTATACATAATAATGGTATACATTATTATTATTATTATTATTATTATTATTATTATTATTATTATTATTATTATTATTATTATTGTTGTTGTTGTTGTTGTTGTTGTTATTGTTATTGTTATTATTATTAAACAATTACAATGTAACAACAAATAATTAAAACAAGTGATATTTGTGGAATTGCATGCACATGGAAATGCACATTACTCTTAAATACTGAGTAATAATGTAGTTCAATTGGTAAATTGGTAGTTTTGAATTACACCATGCATATTTGTTCATACTTTTTTTTTTAAAACAACAACATTTGTTTACTATTGTAATTTATTTAACCTCAACTGCTGTTTAATAATGAATATAATAAAAATCATAAATACATGTTGTTTTAAAAACTTAAATTGCTTAAAACATCAATGGGGAATTTGTGATTTACATGCAATCGGCTTTATGACAAGTGTTACGCTTATATTTTATTTATTTATTTATTTATTTATTTATTTATTTATTTATTTATTTATTTTTTTTTTTAATTTTCTAATTGTATTTAATTTTTTTTATATCATTTTATTTTCAATTTTGTAGAATAAAAAATAATAAAATTACAAATGTTTAAAATATTGCATTATTTTGTTTGCTTGCTTTTTTGTAATTTTAAAATATATTAAAGTCGAGTTCTTTGGTGGCACTTTAATAATAATAATAATAATAATAATAATAATAATAATATTTATTTATTATAAATTATTATATAATTTCATTAGTTAATGCATGTTTAACTATTTTTTAACCTGAACTAGTAATGGACAATATCCATTCATGCTTGTTGACATTAGTTAATGCACTATGCATTAACATGAACTAACAATCAACAACTTTATTTTCGTTATCTAAAGTTGACGAACATAAATAAATGCTGTAATGAATGTATTTGTTTGTTCATGTTAGTAAATACATTAAGTAACATTAATTAATGCAACCTTGTTGTAAAGCTTTATGTATTATATGAGGCATGTTAATAAGTCCTTCCCAAACATCTTGTTAAAAAACAAATCCAACACTGAACAGAAAAGATTATAAAAAACACTAAGAATAAATGAATGGATAGATAGATAGATAGATAGATAGATAGATAGATAGATAGATAGATAGATAGATAGATAGATAGATAGATAAATAGATAGATAGATAGATAGATAGATGGATGGATGGATGGATGGATGGATGGATGGATGGATGGATGGATGGATGGATGGATGGATGGATGGATGGATGGATGGATGGATGGATGGATAGATAGACGGATGGATGGATGGATGGATGGATGGATGGATGGATGGACTGATGGATGGATGGATGGATGGATGGATGGATGGATGGATGGATGGATGGATGGACGGATGGATAGATAGAAAGAAAGAATACTTTAAAACCAGACAAAAGAAGTATTGTTGATTTCTCCTCAGTAGAGAGAGACAATTTAACACTGGGAGGAAAATGAGAAAGATAAAGAAGGAAATTCAAGATTCTGCCTCCATAATCCTATTTTACGCCTCAGCCTTCAAAAAGTGCATTAAATGTTGTGTGGTGTTTGCAGTAAGTCAGCAGCACACAATGCAGATGGATGGATTGAACCCGGCGAGCTGTGATGAAAGTGAGCGAGAACAAGAGCCGATGAGAAATGTGACCCGAGCCAAAGCCAGCAATGAGAGATCTACTGTCAGCTGGAGGAAGAAATAAAAAAAAATGAATGCAAGAAAGACAGACTGTGAGCGCATGGCTGAAATGAGCAAAGACAGAGCGGGGAATGAGAGGGCTTAAAAGACACAGAGAGAGATTACAAAGCACACAACTGCATTTCCAGCCTGTCTTTAATCTTTGTTGACTTGGTGTGCGCAGAAACTGTGGAGAAACTCTCCTGGTGCTTGAGGGAAGGACTTTGAAGAATATGTGATGTGTACAAAGCAAAATCAAATGAACTGAATAAATAAATTCAAATAATTCAATAAAATTAAAGTAATAAATTAATAATAATTAACTAAAAAAATCATAAAAAATGCCGGATGAAATAAAAACAAAATAAAATACTAACATAGCTCTTGTCTAAATATAGCTCTGGTTTGAGCCTCAACTGGGTCAGTTTGCATTTCTGTGTTCTCCATGTGTTCATGTGGGTTTCCTCCAGGTGCTCCGTTTTCACCTGCATTCTGAAGACATGTGCCATAGTGTATGTGTTTGAATGCAAGAGTGTATAGATGTTTCCCAGTGTTGGAAGGTGTGTCCCAGGCTGGAAGGGCACCCGCTGCTTAAGACATATGCTGAATAAGTTGGCAGTTCATTCCGCTGTGGCAACCCATTAATTAATAGAAGGACAAAGCCGAAAAGAAAATGACTGAATTAATAGATTTCTATTTTCCCTTATATGCGCCTTCCTTTTTATTTGTTATGCCTCATTTAAAATAAAATAAATTACAATTAAATAAATGAGCTCAATAAACTGCTAATTAGCTGCTTATCGTTAGTTAGTAATTATTGGGTAGGACTCAGAATTAGGATGTAGTAGAAGATCATAATTTATAATTTCCAATAAACACCAAATATCTTAAATATCTTAGAAATAGGCCGGTATAAAGCCAGTTGGTAATAGTTTGAATTGGTACTTAAACTGTTACCAAATAAAAACAATGAAATAATTTATGAAAATATTATTAGTCTAGACATCACGGTGGTGCAATGGATAGCTCAATCGCCTCACGGCAAGAACGTTGCTAGTTCAAGCCTCAGCTGGATCAGTTGGCATTTCTGTGTGGAGTTTGCATGTTCTCTCCGTGTTTATGTGGGTTTCCTCCGGGTGCTCCGGTTTCCTCACAGTCCAAATATATTGCGCTATAGGTGAATTGAATAAAGTAAATTGGCAGTAGTGTATGTGTGTGAAAGAGTGTGTATGGGTGTTTCCCGGTGTTGAGTTGCAGCTGAAAGGGCATCCACTGCATAAAACATATGCTGGATAAGTTGGGGGTTCATTCCACTGTGTAAACTCCGGATTAATAAAGGGACTAAGCATAAAAGAAAATGAATGAATGATTTATTAGTCTAAAAACTGCACAATTATGTACAAATGACATCTTGATTTTAATGTTTAAGCTATGTCTATTTACATACATGTATTAAAAGCTTTATTGCATACTGAAGCAATGTCAAGGTCATATGTTTGATTCCCAAGAAATGCTAGAATTGATGCAATGTATACAGTTTTGGATAAAAAATTATTTAAAAAATCTGCAAAAGCAATAAAACTAATTGCACTTCTGCATAAACTCATTAACCTCTTAAGGCCCAAGCAATTTTTTTATATGCATTTTTTATTTCTCTTTGCTATTTGGACTTAGTGGAACCTAATTAGCATAATACCTAATTATCATCTTTTGATATGATGCACTTTTAGAGTAAAATTATGTCAATATATGTGGACTTGTGGTCTAAATTTCCATTAAACACAATAAATTCACCTAATAGAATGAAAAACTTAATTTCTGCCTTGAACACAGCAGTTTTTTTCTGACTGTTTTTAATGCATTAATAACACACACACATTTTTTCAATAAAACTAATTGCACTTCTGCATAAACTCATTAACCTCTTAAGGCCCAAGCAATTTTTTATATGCATTTTTTATTTCTCTTTGCTATTTTGACTTATTGAAACCTAATTAGAATAATACCTAATTATCATCTTTTGATATGATGTACTTTTAGAGAAAAATGATGTCAATAAATGTGGACTTGTGGTCTTAATTTCCATTAAACACAATAAATTCACCTAATAGAATGAAAAACTTAATTTCTTTTTTTCTGACTGTTTTAATGCATTAATAACACATACACACACATTTTTTCAACATGTTTTGACCATCAGTAAAAACTATTTTTTTTGTCCATTTTGGACAGTTAAAATAGTGTTTGGGACATTTTATATACTGCAAAACATTTGCAGGATGACACTGTATGTCTGTAAGAAAATACAAATCATAAGGCCTAAGACGGCGACGCGGTGGCGCAGTAGGTAGTGCTGTCACCTCACATCAAGAAGGTCACTGGCTGGGTCAGATTCGAGTCACTTTTAAAAGATGATGTAAGCTGGTAATAAAAAAAACGGATACAGTAACAAAATCGGAATTGACCTTCAAAAAATGCAGTGTAAATGCAGCCAAAGGGTTAAGTGCATTTATATACCCTTTATAAATCAACTTTTGTTATGTGTTTTGCAGGTACATCAGTTTTTCAAGTGACGGCGACAGACGCCGATGACCCTACATATGGAAACAGTGCCCGGGTGGTGTACAGCGTTCTACATGGACAACCATACTTCTCCGTCGACCCCAAAACAGGTAAATCCATGACTTTCAGTTCATGTTTGCGATAGTGAATCGATACAAAGTGCTTTCTGTGGCTTTAAAAAGCTGTTGCAATTTGTGGAATAGGTGTACAATTAAGAACTACAGCCAGCAAATCTCCCCTAGCTTTTCATCCTGAGTTGTTCATATTACACGCTGAATTTTGTTCCTCAGAAAACAGCTGTGAGCAATGCAACAAACCACCAGCACCCTTCACTATGCTGGAATACAGCTTGACATGTGTGCAGTATTGTTTGGATCGCGGCTCCATAATGGAGAGCATCCCTTGAGGACGAGGTGGAGAGAACATTGTGTAAAGGCTTTCAGGGATAAAGACAGACACTGGAAGAGAGACAACAAGACTCGGAGTGCTTTGAGATGGATTTGGTGTTCGTTAGAGGTGGACATTGTTTGAGGGTTTTTGCAAGTTACCATTAAATCTTAATGGAGGCACCTTTTTGTTTTTGTGTGGTGGAGAGAATAGAGGAAGAATGGAAGTGGGGAGGAGAATAAAAAGAAAGAATGAGGAAGCTTGGCGGGGACAATGAAGGAAGAGAGGAAGAAGTGAAGGATAGGAAGGCATGAATGATGAATAATGGAAGAAAGAAAAGCGTGAAGGAAGTGAGAAACAAAAGAAGGGAGGACGTAAAAATTAGTGTTGCCAGATACTGGAAAAATATGCAATGTTCAAATTGGGAGGTCAAAGCATTGTTTATGCTGCTTGTTTAAACTACTTTTTTTAAATAAGCATGAATATTAATTTTTTTTTAGACAATGTAATTGTTTTTTGTTCAATTTATTTATTTTTTTTTTAAATAATTGTTAATCAATTTGTGTTGGGACAACTTGAACGAATTGTGTGGAACCTAGCTCTTTAATGGTGTTGTTGAGTATTGCGATAATGATATGAAAAGGTCAGTCAAAAACAAAGTGAAATCTGAAAATTCCTTTGAAAATGAAAATGTTTTTCTCAGCCTCTTTTCTTTACAGTATGTTGAGTTATTTCACTTTAAAAGGAGACTAAAAACAGGACTTATTCTTTGCCATAAAAGTGATATTACTAAACCTACACAAGAAAACTTCAGGCAGCATTTAGAGGTTTTTGCATCTGAACTCTTCATATTTCTTACAATTTAAAATTTTCCTAGAAAAATGCTATTTTTGTTAGCTATGTTTATCTAATCTATCAAATTTAGAAGAAAATATAACATTACAGAAATGAAAAAGACACAAAGAACGGAAAATGCATAAAGAAAAGAAAACAATGGAACTGGAAGGAAGGGAGGTAAGTAAGTTTAAGTAAGGAAGGAAGGAGAAAAAGAAGGAAGGAAGATGAAATAAAGAGAGAATATATAAAGAAAAGTGAGATGAGAGAAAAGAGGAAACACATAATATAAAAAAAGAAATATAAAAGTAGAAGTAGAAGGAGGAAATTGAAAACAGAAATAAACTGATGAAAGGACTGTGTTACATAAAATAGGAAGTATAACAAGGCGGAGATTATTATGAGATAGAAATGAAAAAAAGACACAAAGGAGAGAAAAAAGTAAAGGAAGGCATGGAACTGCAAAGAAGGAAAAGATAAATGAAAGTGAAATGGTGGAAGAATTAAAATAAAACAAAAGATAAAATAAAGGAAAACAGAAAGGAAGGGGAAAATAAGGGTGAAACAAGCAATGAGAGAAATAAATAAGAAGAAAAAATAAAATGGGAAACAGAAAAAGAATGAAAGAAAATATTACATTTTAAAACTAAATATAATAAGGCATGAATAAAGGAATGAGAGAAGGAAGGAAGAGAAAGAAGGAAGGAAGGGAAGGAAGGAAGGAAAGAAAAAAGCTGGAAGGAAGGAAGGAAGTAAAGAAAGAAAGAAGGAAGGAAGGAAGCTAGGAACAACAGAAGGAAGAAAAAAAATTTAAATCAATCAACAAATGTGAGCAATAAGGAAAAGTAATTAAAGAAAAAAACTATTAAAGAAAAAACATAAAGGAAGTTAAAAAAAGGAAAAATGGAAAAAAGAAAAATAATAAAATAACCTTACTAAATAAAGAAGTAAAATTTAAGAAGGTAGAAATGAAAACACAGGAAAGGAAGAGAAAAAATAAAGCAAAGATAGAATAAAAGAACTAAGAATAAATTAAATAATGATCCTGCGAGTATGCAACCAATCATTTCCCAGTGGCTGAATTTAGATCCAGCTATACACTATGTATTCATGGAATGTCCTGTTAGCAAATGTTTATGTCAGATTTCAGAGGTTTAATAGGTTGCAAACATTGACCTTACAGCAAGAAACATTTGCACACAATCCTCTGACATTATGCATGCAAAATCTGCAAGTGGTTTCTTAAGAACCTTCTCTCTATCTGTAGTGCTGAACAGCAATCTGAAGAATATGATGCTACTAAAAGAAAAATACTCTCTGTCCGTGGTGCTGAAATACAATTGCAGTGTCTTTATTTTGGTGTTGCCGCTGTCCATAGTGCTGAAACCATAATTGAACTCTTATTTGCTGGTGCTAAAAAAAAAGAAAAAAAAAAGCATACCTTAATTAGTACTTTACGGTGCTGAAAGGTAAATAGAAGCTTTACATATTTCAGCTCTGTCCTTGGTGCTGAAATACAAACGCTGTGTCTTTGTGGTTATCTTTTATAGAGATGCTATAGTCTGATTAACACTTTTTGGTGCTGAAAGAGATATAGAAGCAGTGTAGATTCCAGCTCTGTCCATGGTGCTGAAAGAGATATAGAAGCAGTATATATTCCAGCTCTGTCCATGGTGCTGAAATAGAAACCAGCTTCAGTCTGTGTGTATACGATGTGCTGTCCATGGTGCTGAAATACAAGCACAATTTCTTTATTGTTTTGTTGTTGCTGTCCATAACACTGAAACTATATTAAAATGTCTTATTTGCTGGTCGTGGTGTTGAAAACAACATGCCATAATTAGCACTTTTACTCTTCTACTCAGACAAACACCTATAATTAGGCTCACACAAAAATCTGTGCCCAGATAATTCCTCACATTTTTTAACCCATAATTCAGTCTATTTATTTACTTATTAAAATGATTAAGATTGATTTTATCAATTTTATTATATAATATGCAGATGTTTTATGATTTATGTACAATATAGTTTGTAAAGTAATAGTTTTGACTGTTTGAAGACATATTATATGGAAGACACAACCTTTTAATAGTGAAAAGTTTGATTTTTTTAATTAATTTATTTTTTTATAAAAATAATAATAGTTTAAAATGGTATATTGTCTGGGTTTGAATTGGAATGTCTGTATTGTCCCCGAGGAGCAATTTGCTTAACTGCTGTAACCGACACATCAACACTCAAACAAACATAAAAATATCAGTAAACAATAAAATTAATCATAATAAAACGACATATTAATATACAGGGTGATTAAAAAAATACCACAACTTTGAAAACTCTGAAACTCTGAAAAGAAGAAAAGAAGAGCTAAGCTCTTTCTGTCTTCAATTTAAGGAAGCTCTGAAGTTTCACATTAAGGAATTAAAAGAAGAAATAACTGCAGCTATCCAAACTGTTATGCCTGAGATGCTACAGAGTCTGGAACGAATTTGAGTATCAGGTTGATGTCACTGGAGTGTCTGGAGGGGGTCATATTGAACATCTATGAACTTGTTTTCTACTGAAAAAACTTTAAGTACTCTTCACATTGATTAATTACCCAAAGCTTGTTAGGTAACCCAACTGCAGTTGGAGCAAACTAATGTAAGTATCTGTTGGACCTAACCCATCTGGAATACACATACCTTCCGCCTTATAGCTGGAGACAAAAGTGGGTTGTTCTCATCTACTAAAATGTACATACATGTACCTCTGTATGACCCTCATCTCATACACCTGCCCAATGCTGTTAAGAATCGTGCCTTAAAATCTTTTGAGATAGGTTAACAATTTTTGTAAGTCTGTGTGTGCTTGTTACCCTTAAGTTACCATACTAGTATATTACTGCAAGAGTTAAAAGAGACTCAATATATGAAGAAGAGACCTTTTCACATTAAATCTTTTCAACTTTCTTAAATAGATTCACCACTAATTCACCTTTTTTTCACATATAAAATGTGTGTTTGCCTCAGTTCAAGATATCATCCAGGGGTGCGTTTTCCAAACGTGTAACAACGTAACTCGCGGCTGAACTATCATAGTACGATGCATTGGTTGGGAAAAGAACGATGTAGTGATGAATGTTTCCCAAAACCCGTAGTTTCTCTGTCGCAGATCCTTCGTTTGAACCACATTAGTTATAATGTAAAAACGCCCATAATGATGCTCTAAATGGAATGAAGTAACTACTTCTTTTAAAAAGAACCCCATTATGTTTTTGAGCAAATTATATTGTTTTACACGCACATACATTTACAAAAAATCCGATGCTAGTTTTGCTAAAAACATGCACTTTTTTTCATATTAGTTGAAATATGTGTAAATAGCACATAGAGGACCTGTGTTTCCTTTACAAATATTATTGAGAACATTATATATTATTTTCTAAAACAAAAATCACTTACAAAAGCTAACAAATATTCTAATATCATGTGAATAAATAAATAAATAAATAAATAAATAAATAATGAGGCTGCTTATTATGACATGAAATGTAATATTTATTATTTATTTGATAATCCTATGTTAATAATAATATTAATAATATTAATGATGCTGATGATAATGATTATTATTATTATTATTATTATTATTATTATAATTATTATTATTATTATTATTATTATTATTATTAAGTAGTATATTGTTTATTTTTATTTTTTGAAATGTCTACTTTTACAATTTGACACATACAAACCACTGCATAACATTTTTTTAACCAACAGGCCCATGTTATATAAAGTACAGATATGTATACTTATAATAAATAACCTACTTTAAATTAAAAGCATTAACGTGTGCTATGTTTTTTTTTTTGCTTTCACAAGCTTTGGAGACGTAACATAAA